CTCCAGGCTGTAGGCGGGGGAGGATCTTAAAAAAACATTTTTTCAGGGACTATTTGTAGGTGTGATTTTTTTAGACATATTTTTCGGGTCTAGCTATATAGTCGTGGATTTGTAAAAAAATGCCTAGCGTAGCTATGGGATTATTTTTTTAAATATTTTTTTAAAATATTTTTTTAAATATTTTTTTTTTAATTTTTTTAAGGCTTAGCTATTGGCGTGGATTTTTTGAGCCTATTTTTCCATTTATTTTTTTGAAAAAATATTTTTTCAGGCCTAGATATATCGGTGGGTTTACAAAAAAATATTTTTTCAAGGTCTAGCTATATATTTTAAAAATATTTTTCTAGGCCTTGCTGTAGGCGTGGATTTTTTAAAAATATTTTCCAGGCCTAGATGCTTAAAAATATTTTCCTGGTCTAAATTTGTTTTAAAATATTTTCTGGGCTTTGCAATAGGCGTGGATTTGTTAAAAATATTTTTGCAGGCCTAGTTATAGTCGTGGATTAGAAAAAAAAATTACATGGTCTAGCTATAGGTGTGAATTAAAAAAAAAATCCTGCCTAAGCTATAGAAGATTAAAAAAAAAAATATTTTTCCAGGCCTAGAAATAGGCATAGATTTTTTTTAATATTTTGTCAGGCCTAGTCTTTGGATTTTTTTAAAATATTTTTCCAGGCGTGGATTTTTTAAATATAATATTTTTTTCCAGATCTAAAAAATACGTTCTAATGCTGATGAATTTTATAGTGTAAAACTTCAAATACATAATTTCGTCGATTTTATGCACCAAACTTTTTTCAATAAAACCCCCTCGCATATCAATAAATTAATATCATTTTGTGGCGAATTTATATATTGTGCTAATTTTCACTAGTTCCCGCTCCCCATCTTCTTCTCCGCCAGGGTGTGAGGAGCAGGAAAAACGATATAGCGCGATTTGAATTGGGTTGGGTGCGGTGTTTGTTTTATTGTGTGTCTGTCTGTCTCGTACAAGAAAATTAATTGTCTGCTAATTTCAACAGCAGCAACGGCAATATTTCTGCTCCATTTCGTTTTATCCAATTTTATGGGGCATTGATTGTTGCACGAATGTGTTTTTCTAACTAACGATTCAACTGACTGACACATACAACAGAATCACGCATACAATCTCACACATATTTTCACATATTTTGTGACGTCATTATTATATCGTCACTTTGGCATGCCAAAAGCTAAAGCAGCGCCTGACATAATCGCACACACACACATACACACCAAAAAATTTTATTATGATGTGCAAAAAAAAAGAAGGGGTTCATTGACCCCGTTACCACGATGCCATGACCTCCCTAGAAGTTGTGTTGAATTTATGGCGTGAATGGCGTTTTCCGTGGCAGTACCAGTTAAATCGTGTTTTTTTTTAATGCAAAGTCAAATACAAAAATAAATAGCGCCACCCTTTTTATTTAATATTGTAGGGGGTTTGTTTTGTGGTGGTGGGGAGTTACAATAAAAAAGGATGTTGTGATAAATATTTGAAATTATGAGTTATTAAGATATCAAAGTAAACGAGTGGGATTGTGAATATTATTCAAAAATAATTAATAGTTTTGTGTTAAAGGAAGACTTTTTGTAAAACAGTTTTATGTTTATTAATTCCTGTAGGCAAAGGCATTAACCTCGGCGTAGTCAACGGATTAAGCCACAAGAAAAAAAAATAATTTCCGTTAATTTAGAATTAGAAATTCTTTAGTAAAAATCTCCTCGTTTTTGCAACAATTTCTCATGCGGAAAAGCCTTGTTGTAACACAATTTTGCAATCAAAAATGTATACAAAGTAATGTAATCAGTTTTATCATCATCTTCATGCCTCCACATCATCTTTACAGACATCTGATCTTTGCTCAAATGCCAATTTCAGATATCAAATTTACGAAGCAATTCTACTTGCTTGTACACAAACACACAATAAGTGCAATTTTCGACAATTATAAATTGTCATAACATGATTTGGTACAACAGAGTAAATTTATGACTTACTTTTTTGAATTGATATGTGGCGCCCAAACATAGGCCCAATACAAAATGTTCTCAGTTTTTATAACAATATTAGACAAAATTGACAATATGATATAAGGGGTGGACAATTCCTTAAGGTGATGAAAGTCCTTGGCGTGTGCATTAGGAACCTAGAAAGGACACAAATTTTGTTCATAAGATGAGTTTATTGATTTCAATTACCAATGTCTCATTTTGAAGTCATAACCCAAATTTATTAAATGTAAAGTAGTCGGTTTAAGAACAGAAATCGAAAGTCTCAAACGGTTCCTCTCATAATTACGTCTATATCATATTGCAATATCGTAGTCTATACTAATATGCTTCTCGATGTTTCTAATTGTGGTGTTTCTAAGTACGAAAATTATGTCTTGTCTTCTAGTCGGCGGTCAATGTCAACAAATTAAGGTTGACAGACAAGTTGATATATTTCATTAATCTATCGTATGCAAATTACGAAAACATTTTCTCTAGTAGGCTGGTGGTTTTCTTCTTCGTTTTTCCTTGTATCGTTCAATAGATTTTCTCAATCAATGTCATTACTCTGATTGTAACAGAGGCCCTTCTCGAGGTTGTAGGTCAGCCATTACACACGATGGTCTCAACCCAGTTATTTTTTCCGGCACATTTATTATTACTTGCTTATTGGCGGCATTGAAGGTCGTTTGGTTGGACAACATGTGGAACGACGACGAAGGCGGCGACAAGTAAATTGCATTGTCTGTATGACTGTCTGTCAATCTACATACGAGTACATTCGTCGTATGTCTGACTGTCTGAGGCTTGTTTTACAAGTAATAATTATTCACTGTTTTGTTGTGACCAAATGTGTCATCTACTGATTGTCTGTCAGACGTCGTCTCAAATGATTTGGTGGTAGTGGTTGGTTTTTTTTTCGTCTTCAGAATTTTCCTATAGACATTTTCGAATAATAATATTTTTTTTGGTTTTTTTTTTTGATTTATTGCCCGGCACCCAAAATTAAATGAATACAATGCAACAACTCAATTGTTATGGTATTGAAAATTATTGTGTAAAATAATTTTCGTAATGGATACAAAATCCATTGCAAGAAGGGGGGATTAGCTTTTTCTGTTCCATTTGTCTTTTTTTCGGTTCAAGCACGTGTTAGTGCTTATACATAGATTTGTTTGATATTTGTGCCGTTTTGTTTGTTTCTATTTCCACTGTTTAGTTGGTCAATTGTTGGGTCAGAGCTTTGCGGATCGCTGTTAATTACAAAATTCAATTGAATATTACACATGCTGTTAAATGTTTTATAAACGGATTTCCGTTGCGTTGGATGTTTTTTTCTCTTTGATGATGGATTGACAAAATTGTAGCTGTTACAAAATATTTACGTAAGACTTTCGAAATGTGTGTTCAGATTGGAGGTTGCATGGATTGATAAACCTTACAAATCAATATCTCAAAATATGTCTACAAAGTATAAAAGAAGAGCTATAGAAGAATAATGCCAACACTGGCTACGCGACAGAATCTCCTTTTAATTAGAATAGTGTATGTGGGTAGCCTGCCTTCGGCCGGGGATTTAAGACTTTCTCCTATGGACAGATGCCAACACCGGCTACGCGACAGAATCTCCTTTTAATGAGAATAGCGTTTGAGGGTAGCCGGCCTTCTAAAAAAATCCAATGTGTCATAATGTGTAGAGCCAATCATAATGTGTAGAGCCGTATGCATGAATTGGAAAATTTTGTGAGACCTCCAGGAGCTACAAACGTAGATTAAAAAAATCTATAGAACTTTAAAGATCCATAGGCTTTGTTAAAAAAATCTCTAGGGCCTCCATAAGAGCCATAGGCGCGGAGTAAGAAGATTTATGGGATCCCCACAAACCATTGGCGCGAATTGAAAACGAATTAAGGCATGTATAGCCTTAGATTAAAAATATGCAAGACCCAAACATCAATAGGCTTGGATAAACAATTCTCGAAGACCTCCAACAGTCATAGCCCTGAATTATAAGGCATCCACAAACCATAGACTTGAATTAAAAACATGCTAGGGCCTCCAGGCCTCCAAGATTAAAGCAGTCCTGGGTCCTTATAGAGTCAGAGGCAAGAATTACAGGATCCATAGATTTGGGTTAAAAATGTCTTAGGCCACCATTAGCCATAGATGTAGATTAAAAAATTGCTAATACCTTCAAGACCAGTATGTCATACAGTATTTGTATTACTAGAAACACTGGGAACTTTATTGTGACGACGAAAACAAAAGAGAAAAAATTAAATAAAATTATTTTTCATTTCAGTTTGGCATAATAAAAAATACAGCTTTGCTTCTCCAATAAAAAATAGGTATTGTTTTTGTTTTACTATAAACTTGCGCATAGAGATTCAGATACAATATGTTTTTTCAATTTTTTTCATTTACAATAAATATTTAGGCTTTGAAGTTGTTTTCATTAAAAAATATATATAATAACAAAATACAAATAGTTATTAAATTTCATATAGGAAAATGCCCTTGTAATACTACTAATACTACTAACCGATATCAACACATATAAGATAAATATTCTTTACATTATTTTTGTTTGTTTTTTTTTATCAAAACAAAACAAATCAATTCAATTTTTTGTTTGCTTTTTTTCGTTAGATTTTATTTCTTTTTTGATTTGTAGCAGTTAAAGTTATTTATATAATAATAATTATAATAGTTATTATTGCATTTTAAATGGCTTAAAAAATATACACATTCATCATTGTTTTCATTTCTATAAATTAGTTGTTTTTTCTTTTTTTTTAATAAAAAAAAATTTCACTAGTTTTTAACTTAAATATCAATTATTTCACACGTCCATTATTTCTTCTGAACATTCTTGGCTTTCGTTTTCATCTCGTCTCTATCATAAAACTTATAGGCTAATCAATGAGAGTGGCTCTGTTGTTGTCTATATGTATATGTATATTATGTGTCTGTATGATGTATGTGTGGGTGGCTATATATATATTTATGTTTGTTTTTTAATTAACTTAAAATATCCTAACATTAAAATACTATTTACATTTTGTGGTCTGATCCAGCAGCTTCTTCCACAAATCGAATTGTTCATTTGCCTTAATCATATGTACGGATATTGATTTTCGTATATTACAAGGATTAAAGGCTATACGCCGATTAAGGAATTCATTGACATGGACACGTTTAATGCCCAACTGTTGGGCCACAATGCCCGTCGTAAAGACATCTTCCAATTTTAAATAGACCTGATGCAACGATCTCACATACAGCTCATGGACAATATCACTTGTCAGCACATAGGCTGGACCGGTGGTGAAGGGGGGAAACACGGCGGCACTAAATTGTCCCGTCGAAATGTAATATTTCGATTTCTTATTCCATATGGGTTTCCATTTCTTGGCCAATCGACCGTATATGACCCGTTTATCTTTCGAATGCGAATCCAAGAATTGCAATAGTTTGGGCACTTTAATAAACATATCGTCATCGGTTTTCAGTATGTATTTCGCCTTGGGACAATGATTGTCGACCCACTCCAGTGATGACAACGTTTTCAGTGTTAAATTATTATATGAATCAATGAAGTGACCACGTATCAGATCACCATAAATCATATTCTCTTGGGTGAGGGCTTCGTTGATGGTGGCGTTGGTGGTGCGACCCAATATAAAACCGGTGGAAACATCACGACGTGTACCAAAATGACCCCATGTCTGTTGTATGGAACGTGAGATTATATGAAGATATTCAGACCTGTTAGTCCTGTTATTCGAGAGATCCACGCTTGTATCTTTGGACCACGATATCTTCTGACGTCAGTAGGCGGGGGAATTCTGTCCTTAAGGCAGTCAGGAGTTTTCCTGAAGATGTATTAGGTGTTCTCGTCGATAACACACAAACATTTGGTTTTCTCGTCTCCTGATGAACATGGGTCACTGTTGTCACGAAAATCTCAGTTATTGTTATGGCAGGTTTGGATGTTCACAAAGTCAAAAGTGATTGAGGACCTCGTTCCTACTTCTCATCTTATAGTAACTAGCAGTGGTTTGCACAGATATTTTTTGAGGCTGAATTTTAATCGAATGTTACACCCAATACCTTGGATTAACGGGTGTTCAGCGATTGTTTCATTTTGGAGAGCCTGCAAATATTAAATCTAATGGTAATGGCTTTGGCTATGAAGCTGTGCAGAGGCTATAGCCTGTGAGTCCCGTCTCGAACTGTTTGGGATTCTACTGGAATAGTTTCGGCTATGAACCTGACCGAAGGTTTCGGTAGCACGGGTGTCAGGGCCTCTGACCCTGACATAGATCTGCGGATCTAGTCTGGCAGTTGGTGTTGTCCCTTCGCTCCATATTCAACAATGCCTGGTCTCCAATTTGCACCTTTTGTCGGTTGACATCGCTTTTGAAAACTTCTGTGATGGTACCTTTCGTGATAGAGAATATCCAAGAGTTCGACACACGTAGTTGCTTCGGAAGTTGAGAAACTTAGTAATTGAATTCACAACGATTGGCTCTTGGTTTCCCAAGCAATCAAACTTCGCAGTCATAAGACCCTATCTGAGGTTATAAACCCCGGATGCCTTTGTGTGTATATCGCCAAGAAGTATATTCTCTCACATATGTCGTCAATAATGGGTCCGAAGCCATGATCGTGCTATCATCCGCATACATTACAAGGTTGAACAGTTACAGAGAAATCATTCCACCTTGGTGAACTACATGTTTCGCTCTACGGGTCTTCGATTTTCTGTTTCTGAATTCCACACATATAGTCGACGTTTCAAACGCGACCGGAGGTTAAACTTCTCTATGTTCTCGATTAGTTTGACATGGTTTACGATATCGAAGGCCTTCGATAGGTTAAGATGCACTATGACTTGTTGGTTCTGCTTCAGTCCTCTACTATTCTGTGTGGTTGTTGTTGTTGTAGCAGCCCTATTACTTTTACACAACGGGCTGAGGTGACACACGTTGGCCGAGTAGGACTTGGGTCGTTTCGGATCGTAGACCCCTCTGTCGTGGAAACGATTTTGTCCAATACTGTCATAGTACTGTGCATTTTACGGAATACATGTTGTTAGGCTAATGGAAAACTGCTTCTCATCGATGAGAGGAGTAATGCCTCAAATGTCGGTGCTACTTGCAACAACAGTGCATCCGGCCTGTACAGCAGTGAATCCTGACTACTTTCGCAGGCCTCAGGAACTATTTTGATTGGCTAATGACATTGAGGACTGATGTTAAGTACTCGACTCCGGGTTCATCAAGTTGCTTAAGCATTACCGCCTGAAACCAGCACTTTAGTGTTCTTGATGCCATCTGCAACATCCTCCTACGTAAATTGTGATGGTTTGAGTTAACGAAAGATATACATAGATTGGTTTAATAATATTGGAAAACATTTGTAAAATCAGTAATTTCTAATAAGTATTAATTTCTAATAATTACGAATAACATAACCCTCATTTAGCCCTACAAATGCGTATCGATTATATCCCCTACAAATTATAGTAAATTTTACCAATTTACGAAGATGTGATTTATTGCTCTTGGCCTTGTTAGGTTCTTTTAAAAAAATCATATCTTCCATATTTCCTACTGTTTTTATTTCGAATGTGCTGCTTAACATCTTAATTAGCTAACCAAGAAAGTTACCAAAATAGGGTCCATCATTTACATGATTAATTGGGTTATATAAAGTAATCCAATTTGACTTGGCTTTGGACTAATTAATTATGATTTGGATGGATGGAAGGCTTTCATCATTATTCTCAACCATTCTTTTCAATATTTCTTTTTTGGTAGGTTTCTGATTTTGTTTTTAACGATTTTCATTGTTCGCCTATTTTGTGGCTTTATCACTTTTACCCTTTACTTAATAATCATTCTGAGTATTTTTCTTCTTCGGAGGCATAATTTATCTTATTGCCACCTTTTGTTAGAGATGTTAATGTTTTTTCGTTCTCCCAGCCTTCCTTTGTCTTTGTGCCAGTCGGCTTAATACTTTTTGCAATGTGTTTTACCACACATTAAGCCATGATTTTTTGTACGCTAATGAAAGAAATGAAATTAACTGAAATTGCCATAAGGGCCAAAGTGAGTGTTGCATGTCTCGCTTCCCTCTGTGCCACAATTTGCAAATGTCCCAAAGTCATTTATCGCCAGCGTTTTCTCTATACAGAAAGGGAGACACGATGCTGCTCTGCTGGTAGTTTGTTTCAAAAGAGGGCGACTCACGTTGTAATGCCATGTTCTGATCCGAACAACGTTTTGTTACGTACATGAATTAACCCGTTCATACAACACTATTCATAATTCATATCATCAGAGTTTTTTATTTCAAACTTTTTGTTTCTTGTTTTACACCAAAAATGTAACATATTTTAGTGAATTACATTGGGATCTAAATAGAAAAAATATTTCTCTTTCCCCTGACTATAGTATGAACCCATATCTATTTACTTTTCATTCATGTTTTCCATTTTTTCTGAAAATGTTGTTGTTTTTAATGCATTTTTATATTTTCTCAATTCAAATGTCACATACTGTCACAAATAAAATTTGGAGAATTTTTTGTTTGAGTTGCCCCACATTTGTTTCTTGTTTTGTACGCTAATTAGTACCAAGGGAAAAGAAATGCATATTGCATTATGTAGAAAACAAAATTTACATCCTGCTGCATATATAAAAACTATACAATTTTTTACTTTTCATTCATGATTTTCAATTTTACTGAAAAAGTTTGAAAATTTCATAAATATTTTCAAACTGTCAAAATTAATTTATTTTCGATAAATACTCTCTATTGTTAGGGATGGGACAAATTTATTGGTTATTCAGAGAGTGATTCGAATTGAACAACGTACAAAAGTCGGTGTTCGCTCAGACAATTTTGTATGGGGAACTAAGTAATTCCTTCATAATTAAGGGTCGAACAACGAATGAGAGAGCGAACAACGCTCGTCTGTACATGGCATAATCAAACATTATTTCCCCTTTGTCGCGTTTTTGTAGTTTCGGGAGGATTTGTTTTCGCCATTTGTAAAGCGGTGTATTTTTTTTTTGTTTGCTGTGTTCTTTGTGTTGTGTTGGCGGTTTTATCTGAAATATAGCCAAAGGCCTAAACAACCTCGTCGCGTTGTTTTTTGTGTACTATGAGTTCTTTAGACCTAGACCACAACGTATGACAAAGAATTGTTTTTTTGTGGTCGTTAATTCATTCTTTTGTATTGAATGTTGAAAACTCAATTGAAGACATCATCGCCAAATTTAGTATAACTTCATTTTCGTATAGATCATTTTTAATGTTGTCCGTTCTCGAAAATCGAACGATATCCTAAAAAATGATGATCTATTGTTTGTGGAAGCTGGGCAGTTTTAAATGCCTTTGTATCCATTAATAAAAGTTGCATTGCATTGAATACTAATTAGCGCCTTAAAGTATGCTACAGTATTGTTGTGGGCATTTAATTTATTTGTTACCTTTAAATTTTCATTATATATGGTTGTAATAAATATTTTATTTTTGTTTTTTTTTTCAGGTAAGTGTATTCTAGACATCTTCGTTAGCCAGAATATGTGCGGCTGATGACTTACCTTCAGGTAACACGAAATTTATAATTTTAAATAATATTTTTGGTCACGTAATTAACCAACTCTTACACTATTGTTTTTCATTAAACCCAGATTTGTTGGCAATATTGGTTAATATAAAAATAATTAAAAACAAATAAAATTTTAAAAGGACAAGGGATTAGTAGAACAAGATAATATTAACAAATGATTGTTTAAAATAAGTATCGAAATTTTTTTGTAAAACCTATACTCCCTCTATTTCGCATTTAACCGTAAACGAAATACCACATGACTACTTTTTCTGACCACTAAATATTCTACAAAAATTTCGTTCTAAGACGAGAAATCGTTATTCGTATGCTTTACATTTTTTTATCGGATTGTCAGATAAAAACCAGTTTATTTTCAGGTTTAGTTCAACCGAACCTCTTTTGTTAAACCAATTTTGCGACATCGAACTAAAAACTGTTTTATTGTTCTAGCAATTAAACAATTTCTAGTTCCTTAGGATTAGTAGTCAGTCCTCTGTTAGCATTTTTCCTCTATGACATCCATTATCCTTCCCATCGTATATAGAATGTTATCCAGCGTACTGTGTAAACGACTGAAGCCAATGGTCAATGACATTATTGGACCAAATTAATGCGGCTTTAGGCCTCGCAAATCCACCATTGTCCAGATTTTCACTCTGCGCTGAATCCTGGAAAAGACCCACGGAAAACACATCGACACATTCCACCTATTCGTCGACTATAAAACCGCATTCGGCAGCCCTATCGGTTCAGAGGTGTTTAAAGCCATGTCTGCGTTTGGCATTCCTGCAATATTAATAAGGCTATACAGGATAACTTTAACTGACACAAGGTCAGCAGTTAAAGTCGGAAACAACCTCTCGGGGTCTGACGGTAAATCACGAGATCATGGCATCAACGAAACTCACACTCTACAAGACATTGATTCTACCCGCGCTGCTGTATGGATTAGAATCATGTGTATTTGTGCAATCAGAAGAGCCAGCTCTTAGAGTGTTTGAGAGAAAAATTCTCCCGGGATCGAAGTCGAAAGACCCACGAGCTTTACCATCTATGCATGGACATCGACATAGTCAGTCGCATCGAGCTGCATTGACCACGGTGGCTAGGCCATGTTGTACGAATGCATGAGAATGCCCGA